GTTTCATATTCTCACAGACGATAATACAGAGTATCGCAGTTTAATACATAGCACTGAAAGTGCAAAACGATGCTATGCGAGAGGGAAATAACATCGAAGAACACAGATCGTGAGACAGAATATATTAATGAATCGCATCAACGATGTCTAATGATTCTACCGATGATGAATTAGCGCAAAGTAAAATGATGAATCACAACGTGACTACAAATATATTTGCAAATCTTTTGAATTTAAAACTAGCGGCAAAATGACTGGATCGCCTCACTTTGTGGTCAACACAGTGAGCAATATTCAACTAGCATTACGACGTCAATTAATTTGGCTTTAAAAAGTTGCTACATTTGAAGATTCAACCGTCGGCGTTATAGATCAAGAAGTGTCGCGACATGGTGATTATTATCAGTGCGGTCGAGCCTCTGTCTGTTCGCAATCCCCCATTTCCGGTCAGGATAATTATGCTCGGACAGCGCCAGATTCACAGCCTAAATATGACGGGGTAAAATCCCGGTAGGATCACTCATCTTTCATCCTTTCGAAGTAAATAAATAATTAAAACCATGTGAAATGGAAGCAAAAGATTACATGCCGTCATGACCACCTAACTGTAGATATAATTTTCAAAAAATTATGGCACTTATTATTGATGGCAGAGTAACGACATTAGTGACGCGTTAAAAGCTTTATAAAAATAGAGTGCAAACACTCCAACGATAAAAGTCAAGGAAACAACGACAACTCAATGGTAAAAACGTTTTTTGTTTTGATTTTTTTTACACAAGTCTGTAGCCAGAATACAAGTTTTCAAGAGTTATTGAAGTCTTTGCAATCAATCGTCAACTGGCACAAACATCTGTTATTCCAGTGAGCAATTATAATTTAAAAACTAACATGTAAATAAGTATTCCGGTTGTAGTTCCTTCAGTTTAACGTGCCAACGCATCGAGTTACGAAAAATAAATGGCAGTAAATTTACGGTTGCTGCTGTCTGATCATTCACCATTATCCCGGCGGCAGTGCTTCAGCACAGATAACTGATTTTACTCGCTGACTTGTGGCGAAGGTCAATTTCAACAAATTGCACTTGACACAAAGAATTTTTCGCATTATTGTAGGTTGATCATGATTGCGTATATAATATGACCCCTGATACTAGACAGACTGTGATTCGAAGTGTCGGACACTGAATTTGAGGAATAACAGTTTACCGTCAATTTTATAGAACGCTGCGTCCCGTTGTTTTGCTTTTAAAATATCTGTGGATTACCTCTGCCTCGTTGCTATGCCTTTGATTTTAAGAGCACCTACAAAGTTTCGCGAATCGGTCGATAAAGTTCGAACGGTTACGCACCTGATATCGAATTCCTGTTGTTGTTGCTAAACGAGTACATGGATTTGAAAGACTTGTTCAGGTCTTTATTGATCTCCGTGTCCTGCAGCATACGGTACAGCTTGTTGATATAATCAGCGGGCATGCCTGCTTCCTGCAATAACAGTCAGCTTGCCGTTAACGAAAAATGATTTAACGAGATGTCATTCAGTACGCGAAGGCGGTTGACCATGCTTTCCTCCTTCTCTTGATCCGTCGAAACGTCCAAGATCAGTCGACGGGCCATGTGCGCTTTGTGAAAACGCATGAATACGTCTTTGTTCTGAACGTACTTCAAAACTAAAATCTAAAAGCATAAGTGGCATCTTAGAAATTACAAACGTATTCGCAATGCATACGACGTCAGCCAGTTTGGCGTCAATCTCGTCAGAGGTCAGCTTCCGCGAAATCTGAGTCTTCCTCAGTAACAGATCGCAGTAGTTGGCGAGAAGTTCAGGACATTTCGATTCAGGCAAAATCTTGGAGGAATGACTAAAAAGAGATCGAAGGTACAGAGCATAAAAGATACTGTTTGCGGCATGACGCTAAAACGAATTTCCTGAAAGTACCATGATGTCACAATGTTATGCTAATTAAAGCATTTCACTGGCCGTTAAGTTCGTATTTCAAACATTTCGATGGTTCGAAGTACTAATAAAATGCGGTCATCAAGTGACCACAGAAATTTTTCTTTTATTTATGATCTGCAAAAAAAGGTAGGGAAGAATTTTTGCTGATTAGCTTAAGGTGGAATCTGAATTCAGAACATGAAGTACAATTTCTTAGACCCTTTCCAAAAATTTAATGTTCGAGCTTCGAAACGTTTAAATGACTGGTAATTAAAACTGACCGCCAGGTACAGATGACTTTTTGTTCACGCCTCTGTGTGTTGCATATCTGTCTGAAGGGAGAGTACAACTCAAGCTAATAATGAAAGTAGGCATCGAACTGCCTAAATCACGGAATCAGACCCTGCGTTTTCATAAAATCGCCAATGACGATGAAGAGCATAAAATTCTTCCCTAAGCGAGCAAGGTAGCAGCTCGTTCAAGGAATGAGTAACTGCAGCAAACTTGCAATATGCCATTTTTTCTGTTTATGGGCACATCGGTAGGGCAGACTGACGCAAAGTGTATATGAATACATTTTAGTTTAAGGCTGAGCTTTCATTTTCAAATGACAACTCAGCAGTGATCCTTAAACGAAGGTGTGAGATGGCGCAAGCCTTCATTAAAACTGGCCAGACGTCTATTCTTAACATCAACTGCTGCAAAATCTTTTACTAACGCCGTGTGTCTAAGCTACGAGCAGAAGCAGCTTGTTACACGTTTCAACAGCTTGCTCCTTTAAGACAACTAGCAACATTTGCAATAAAATCCTATAATCATCTAGGTCATGTGTAGATATGTCAGGTGACAATGAGCAAATTTAGAACATGCTCAACCAACAGGTGAACTACTGCTCACGATGCAGACTGCACGAAACTTCACTGAGTCCGGTTCAGAAACAAATAAAATCCGTAGTTAAGTTCATGGCATGCTAAATGTCACTCAAAAATTGTGGTTTTAAATCCGGGTTGGAATCACTAGATTTCCATTCTAACAACATAATTACATGAGCTACACTACATGTAGAAAGGAACGACCGAATTATGCAACACAAACACAGCTGCATATATGGCTTTCATGAATATGGTACTCAAAGTTGGTGCCATCGCAAAGGAAATCAGCGCCGCATCATAACGTAACTTATCGCATCGTTAGTAAATTAATGCAAAGAATGACGGCATCTATAAATAATATCCGTCAAGGAAGTTCGAATTAAGAACCGTAAGACAGTTTTCTTTTTCCTTTCATGTAATATGACAGCTTAACCTTCCGTATGTAAAATGCATATGGGGCTGATGTATACTTCGAAGCGTCAAACTGAATTAACAACTGCAATTCCCTCAGAGAAAATGACCAGTTCCTTTTGGAAACGTTTGAAGTCTAAAGGTAAAAACACGCTCTTGCTCCGTCTAAGTTGATAGTTGTTTAACAATAATTTGCTTTAAGAAATCTTCAGAATCGTTTTCAAGTAACTATTACATGAGAGGAAAACTTCTGAAGTTCTCGACTGGTCATTATCATGAGTACAGTCTTTCTTAGCCTCATTTTCTGCTAATATGAGATGACCTCGCAAAACTGCACTCAGTCTTCTAGTTAAATAATTTTGTCTATATATCTGACGGGTAAACTAACTGCCAACAACCAATATGAATAGATGATACTGGATTCAAATGTTACTTTGGAAATTTTCGCAACGAATTTCGGCTTTCTGGAGACTACAAATAACCGCCAGTATGCTGCTTCAACGACTATCGCCAGTTAACTGCCTTCTACACTGTCATACCATCTAATCATGAATGACAACATTCGACAAGCTAGCAAATCACCTTCGCTGCTGAGCAGGTGGAAGTTCAATTTTGAACACAGAAGTGTCATTAACGATTTCTTGAAATGCTTTGTCCCTAGCGGTAAGAAACCGGGGATCATCAAGAAAAGCTTCGTGAACCAACGCACTGAAACGACGAAACATTCCAAGTAGCTGTTCAACATACCGCTCTGGGTCCTGAAATCAAGCAAAAAATTTATTATAAAAGCAAAGTCTAAAGTGCTCTAGTTGTGAAGCTAATGCCTGCTTTAAAGACCCGACAAAGGCTTCCAACCGAGTGCCCGATCGTTCATGCGTATAGCTGCCGCAGCAGTCATAAACTTTATGGACAGGATCAGAAAACGAAGTGTATGCGTGGAAAAGGTCACAGTTAAAGGTATTTCCACCAAGTTACTTGCTGTTCGCAGATGATCACCTCATGTTTGCTTCATATCTCGCTGACCTCAGACAATCACGTGTTGGGTTCGCTGCCGCATGCGGAGAGGTCAGAAAGAACATCTGCCTAACTAAAACCTGACTCTAACACTCACCATACTATCCATTACTCGACTAGCAGCATTAAAGTAGTGTAACTGAATGAAAAAAGTTCTTCGGCAACGGAACCAAAAGTTCATTCATTCATTTCCAGTATAAGCCGCTCTTTTGACTACTGAAGACAGCCACTTCAAAAGGATTCTCAAACGCTATCAGACCTCCGCCTAGGAAAATTCTACGAACTGCAGTTCAAGAAACAACAACGCCATTGTTTAATGCGCTCCAGCCATCTGAACCAATGCTTGCCTTTTACAAAACACCACAAATAATACTGCTAACAAACAGAGTCTATTATCTAACAACCTGACGATGTGGTCGAGCCACTGAAATTGCGATCTCTATCTGGAAAAGAAAAACTCAAAAGTAAGAGTAACTCAGACTGCTGTTTGAAATATTTTCGAACCTGCTTACACCAGAAAATCTTTGAATGAACCTCATTTAACAATGACTCCACAAGATCGTGCTCATTCTTTCTAATCCAACATTTGTGACAAGTGGTGAGAGCCGCTGTATAGACAAACCTGAAGACGAAAGCTTCGCCCTACCGATCAGCTCTTTCTACAGCAGAGCATAATTGCTTAGATCAGACATTACTGCGTTCACGTGACCGCGTCGTGTTTATTTCGCATCCTGTCTACTATCACTAGTGAACACTGTCTTGATATAACTGAACTTCTTTACCTGCACCAGTCGTATCTAAACGATCGACAAAATATACTGAGTGGAGTTTCTCAAGGGTAGAGAAACCTCAGTTTGGTCGGACTGATCTTCATCTCAGCCTCACTGCGTACAACTATGAACTTATGAAGTCCACTTGAAATTCACTCTCAAAATGAGAAGAGCAGTTAGCAGTTAACAGCAAAATTTATTATGCTTCTAGAGTTCGATTCCAGGGCTCTTTGCATATATGACTTATGACCTGATGACGTCACTACTTTCTCAACATCCGTTATAACAGTAAACGGTTAAACTGAATACTTTTAGTCCCTTCATCCTGTTAACTAAAATTTTGAGACAAACTGCTGAAGATGTGAATAATGAAGGAGCGGCATCAAGGTAAGAACTGTCTGGAGGTGTTCTTCGTCACCAGCAACATTGATAATGCGTCATTTCAAATGACGTGAAAAAGAAGTCAAGAATTACGGCTGACGCCGACTCCTACAAACGGATGTGCCCAACTACACATAAGCTTCCCACGGAACCAGTAGTTAAGTGGCCGCAAAACTCAGAGGTCGTACTACACTACATTCCAAAAGCAACAAGAAATACTAAGGTGGACGATACGCTTACGATAGTACAAAGTTTCGATCACATCGCTTAGATAGGCAAGAAACACCCACGGTCAATATGGTTTCCGCGTTGGCGACCATATCCGCCAGTCCTTGGTTTTTAATGTGTATTTCCAAATCTGTCAAAATTGGGTCAAGGCCATCTGGCGTTCTGTTTAAGAGACGGTACATCAACCGAAGCTCTAAACATAAGCCGTGATTACAAATCGCTGGCAAATGGATCGCATATAACTGTCGATTTCGTTTCCTTTGATCAACGATGGGCACTCGGCTAAGATTTGTTCCTGAAAGGCGGTCACCAAAACACTGACGCATCTGTCCATCAGCTAAACAATCAATCAGTGGTCAGTCATAAAGAAAAGAAAGACGGTTGTCGTACCATCTGCAACGAGTTGCTGTGCGGCCCTATTTCTAAATAGCGGATGCCGCGTTGCTCCTCTTCACTCAGTTTCTGCTCTGCGTAGCGCATGTACATAATCACGCCGTTTTCGTGAAGAAACTTCGCCGCACGAGTTCGGTAAAACTCCTCAGTAGAGTCCATGTAGGCCTTTTCGAAATGACGCCGGTAGATAACAAGGCGATCAGCGGCGTCCGTGCACAGGGAAACTGAAATCATGCACTCGTGCTTTAACGTTATCACAAAATAAATCACTGAATAAAACAAAAAATGCTTCGCGACTTGTCAAAGCCATCAACACCTGATCGACACCAAAGAAAAGCCAAGGTTATGAATTGCAGGATCTGAAAACCGAATAAGA